GCGTTAACTCGATCGAATTTAATCGAATCTCGTTTTAATTCCTCTCTTTCTCTCGCTTTCTCTCTCGTTTCTTCGAATCTGAAAAAATCGTGCACGCTAACAGAGCTTTAAGTGTAAAATTTGTCTCGAGTTTGAGAAAGTTTTTGTCGTAAAGGAAAAATAAGCATAAAAAAGGAATGTCGTCGATCGATGGAAGAGCGTCGATTTATTCGTGGCGAAAACCGCGTCGCGATACTGGAAACGTGTTCTCCCCCAGGCTGTGCTCATCCATCAGCGCGAGCAAATGGCTATTATTAAAGCGACATTGTTCCTGTAATGGAGATTAAGATGGTCTCGCGCGCAAACCGCTTTACCTACTGCCTCGCCCTCCCACCGATTCACGGACTAACTTGTTCCCAGATTATTCACTGTCCCCGTATATGCATTATCCCAGCCACGAGACCACGCGTTAGTTATGAAATTAAGAGACGAGTTTTGCATACAGAGTGCCGGCCAACGATTTTTTATTATTTTAATATCCTTTTTTTAAAATCCGATTTCCAACCAATTTGTTTAATCGCTGTACTTTACGCATTTTTCCACTTTCCTATAATTCGATTAAATAATCGCTAACGATTTTTTAATCGATCGTGCTTCCTTGATGTTTGTTGGACGCCGATTGAATATTTATTAACGCGAAGGATTATCTTCGAAAGATATTGCATGTTTAAAGAATTTACTTCGCTCGTACAATTTTTGGAAACTTAGTCCTTTTGCGTATCAAGAGAAGAGGATATGTTCAATCGCTAATTAAAATTATCCATCCGTTCTTATTAATGGATAAAAAATAGCAAATTGTGTCATAAGTCTGAGAATTGTTTTATTCAACACCAATGATTCGAAATTTTTGCGTAATTAACAACAATCTCTTCGACAACTCGTCTCAACACTATCACAGAGTCGATTATCCAGAGATTCGAGTGGATCCACGTTCGTTCGTTCGTTCGTTCGTTTCCGGTTAATTCGGGAACGTGAAATGGCAAAATGGCGGGTTAACATATTGTTCGCATGGCAGGAAGTAATGGAACGAGAGGAAGGGTGGATACGATGGAAAAGAAACCACCGGTGCAACAGGGGAAAATGGGGGCGGAAGAGGATTTCTCGCCGGGCCGAGTTACATTGATTTCCACGTTATACGGATCGACTAATTGTCAGAGGGCAATTACGTCGGCCAATAATGCAGACACTATCGCTCTAATCAACCTATTGTGAGGCCTTTATTGGATTCCCCGCTCGACTCGAACGCGATTAACAGCGCGGGTCTTCCCTTTTGCGACAGCTTTCTCCCTTTTTAATAGCCCCGCCGGATTGGAGCGCTCCCGCAACTAACTCCTCTCGGAATCTATTTACCCGCGAACGGCTTCCTTCGTGGAATGGAGCTATCTTCTTACCGGACTTCGATCTTGAAAGGAATCTTTAGGAAAATTAAAATTACGGGATATTTGGATCTCGTCGAATCGAAGATTTCACTCTTTAATCCCGCTGAATTATGTATCGTTCAAGTGTTTGTATTCGTTATTTTGATATAATCTGAAATCCAATCTGAAAATTGAAATTAAATATTTCGTTTGGATTGAATAACGTAATAGTTGCCTAAAGGGATACTTACACGCATGTTTCGAGACAAAATTGTCATAGTATACAATTAACAATTTTTTCCTGTGCGATCGACAGTGAACAGGGAAGACGAGCTGAAACTGTCCAGAGACGAGTTGGAGCCAGACAAGCGCAGCTACCAGCCCACCTCGAATCTATTCTCAACCGAATCCACGACCGAGTCGAGGAAATCGCGAAAAAAATCGAAGAAGAAGAAGAAGAAGCAGCCTAAGCATCGTCTCTCCACGACCCCCTTGAGTTCCGTGCCGGCCACGCCTCCGCTGTTGACCACCACAGAGATACCGTGGCAAACGACGCCTGTCCAGTGGCGTCTGATAGCGGAGAGACTGTTTGGACCCCCTTGGGAACAAGATGTTCACGAGCAAGGGACCAGCCACTCTTCTTCGCAAAATCCAAGAAGCCTGACCTCTATCAGAGACCTGATCGAGGAGGACAAGTCGAAACCGAAGAGTTTTCCATCCGATAGAAAACCGATATTGGCGAACCAAGCTGGCGAACTTGGCAATCAAAGGCTGATGCGGTTTGGCAAGATTGGAAATCGTCAGCCTGGTCACGTTCAACCACGCAGAGAGTTCGCGAGCGTGTACGATAGGCATACAGGTAAGTTTGTAAGGATTTTGGTTAGTTGCCGGATGAGCATGATCTCTTCTGAGATTAGACCTTTAGATATAGCTCGATTTCGTTGCTAGAGAATATTATACTTTGCTACGTCAGGCCACGTGACGTCACGTTATCCCCACTACCAGTGCTACATTAGATAGAAATATGTCACGTGACTAGACCTTAGCCAAAGATGCATCGTGTCACGTGATGTGTTGGAACGGCAGAAGGGATAGCACACTTGTGCTTCTTCGGTAATTCTGATTGTTTGCGAGTATAACGCGATCAGGATATTAACGATATTATAATAGATATATTTCCAGTAATTCCTGTATTTCGTGTTAAGCAATCAGGATCATAGTTTTCAGAATGCAGGAAATATTTTTTTCAGAAAGAAAGACTCTTAAAGTTCACTCTCTTTCACTTTGTTTCTATTACATTTAGCCATCGTCAAAAGTTCTACGAGCACAAGAACCCGTATGATCAGCTCTTTGTTTAACTTCGGAAAAAACTCTTATTCCTTCGAGAGAGTTTCTTGCTTATTCGTGCAATTACCCGTGAAAAATATTTACCACTGCTGTTGAAGTAAACGTTGATGTATATTTCGTGATCGAATTTCGAGTAAATCTCGATTTAATAAAATATTACGGATAAACTTGATAATATTGAACAACAATTTTACGATATTTACGCGGGATTTTAAATAATTTTATTCGCGGTATATAATTATACGATAATAACAAATATTTTATATCTATAACAACATTTTACCCATACAAATCGAATTTTTGCTCGGCTTTTCCGCCATGTTCTTCTCTCGAAACGTATCGTTAAAATTTCCATTACTTTTTCATCGCTTCGTATTTACAAATCGCTCGCGAACTTTCCGGCAAAAACTTTCGAATCCCTCTTAACCGATCTGCTTCTCGAAATCCCCGATTTTTCCAGATCCAGAACGAATGCCGGATTACGACATACCGGAAACGTACCATCGGCCGCGATACGATCAACTGTCGCCGGCGTCGAGAGAGCTGCTTCGAGGCGGGGGGAGGAGGACTATCGAGGGGACTTCAACGTTCAATCGGATGGATATATTCCCGTCGATCGGGAATACGAGCCGCGGGATTTCCGGTTGAGCAAGAGCTGGCCGGACCTCTCCACCTACGCTAGAGGATACGATCCACCCTGGAGAGCCGAGGAACGCCCCCCGTTGCCCCTAACTTCCGAGAAGTGGTCTTGGAGGGAACCACCCCCTAGCGGGAACAAGTATTGGCCTCAGCGTGTAAATTTCCTACCCGTGGAGAAGAATTACTGGTCCACGTTTCGCAACGAGATAGGGGAGCAGGCGAGCAACGAGAACAAGATGTGGCAACAGCAACGGGATGTTCATTCGAGTTGGGACGGGTCGAGTTGGCCAGCGGAGAAACCTTTGTCGAAACCGGTTGTCGTCTCCCCGTGGCAGCAAGCCGTGGATACGAGGCCTGTGAAATCGTCGTACGATCATCATCATCATCATCGGCAGGCGGCGGGCAAGAATCGATCCGAGCCGGGTAAATCGTCGGCTAAGGAGGAGGAGGGGGGGGAGAAGAAAGCGGGGAGGCCGCAGATCACGATGAAAACTTGGAACAGTTTGACCTCGGACCCGGCCACGTGGCCGCACAAACTCCCGGGCGCCAAACCGTGGCCGAAGGACGAGAACGGCAAGTCGTACAACCCGAACGCCGATTTGGTGAAGAAGTTGGGGTTGGACAAGCAGAAAGACGGCGGCTCGTGGTCGAACGAGGGAGGCGAGAAGTCGGGCGGTGAGAGGAAAAAGGACGGGAGGAAGGAGGGGAAAATGGGCGAGGGGGGAGAGGCCTCTACGTACAAGTCGAGGGACTCCGAGTACAAAGGGAGATCGGAGGGAGATTCGATGAAATCGTGGCTCTCGGATTCGAAGAGCTCGAGCAACGAGTGGAAGAGCGAAGGCATGCAGGGAGACGATTCGAACGCTTGGAGAGGGAAGTACGAAGGGAAGAGCGCTGCGTGGCGAACGGGGGACGAGGCTGCCCTGCCCAAGATCCAATCGGTGGGCGCGTGGGTAATGGCAGCCGATCAATCCACTTGGAAGCCTTACCAGATCAAACCCATCGAGCCGTCCGACGAGACTGGTTCTCGAAGATGGTCGGCCAAGCCTCTGAGCGGCAGGTCGTCCTGGATGGATAGATCGGACGATCCGTGGCCCGATCGCTGGCCCGAGAAATCGAGCAAACCGTGGTACGCCAAGACGAAGGATCTGGTGGTGGACGGTTGGCCGTCGAGCAGCAGCAAGTCTGGCAACACCGACTCGTGGAAGGTGAAGGGAGAATGGTTGGCCAAAAATCCGGAATCCTCCTCCTCCTCCTCCTCCTCCTCCTCCTGGATATCGAAAATGGGCGGTGGAGAGAAGAATTCGTGGGCTGCGAGGGATGGTTCGTGGTCGACCAAGTCGAACGAGTCTTGGAACGAGTCGAGAACGAGCGAGGACGCGTCCAAGTTCGCGTGGCCCGTGAAGGCGAAGGAGGAGGATGATGGCTGGGCGAGGAAGTCGAGCGAGCGGGCCGGTTGGGGAGCGAAGGCCAACGATCTGTCGCCGTGGCAGCAGAAGATGAACGAGGAGTGGAGTTACGGGAAGACGAGCTCGACGGGCACGTGGCCCGCCAAGTGGAAACAGTTCGCCTACCACAGGGTAACCGCGATGCCGATCTCGAAGCCTGGGACCACGGCCGACGCCGCCTCGCCCAAGTCGAAGAACAACGCTTTCGTGGCCGTGTCCGCGGTCTCCTCGCCCAAGTACGGCGGGAACGAGTGGAGGAAGAACGAGGAGGACGCGAGGAGCGAGAACGAGAGGCGGGGGGGTGGCGAGGAGCAGGAACGTTCGAGCAACGGGGTGCAGGTGGGCCTCGAGCGACCCATCTACGCGTGGAAGAAGGATACGAGCAAAGGCAACGGCACCGACCCGCTCGAGAACCAGTTGGAAGCACTCAGACAGATTGACTTCTGGTCCTACAAAGAGAACGAGGCCGAGGTGAGCTCGTTTTATTAAATTTTCTCCTACGTCTACAAGGTATTCGTGACTCTATCGATAATTAGCGCGATTAATTCGACGATGGCATCGTCAGAATAGAAGCTTTTTAGGTAATAGAAATCGATCGGGATGGATTGTAATTTAAATTTTTGTGCAGACACTGTGAGAATAAATTTTTCAGTTTAACCAATGCGCCACCAAGAATCGAAAGGAGTGTTTTTGATGACGTTTTTCATAGATACCAGAAACAGTTGGAGAAATGTTATGCATTATCGATGACAAAACTCGAAAAATATTCATAATTGCTCCACAATATCTTCAAATCTTCAATTCTTCTATCTATAAAGAGAAAAGATGATTCTCGTCGGATAGATACAATAATATGAGAATATTAAGAGAAACGCAATTACAGCAACGAATAGAAAAAAAATAGTCGAGCGTTGACCCATTCCCCCCTTTTGGTTTTTTAACGAAAGACGGAGGTTGATAAAATCGAGAGGTGATCGAGGGTGTTTAAGAGGGAGGCGAAAGACACTCGAATTGCGAGTAATCCCGGGGCACCGCGACGCTTTTACGTGCCGCAATTTCCGGGATTCGTTGACGAGGACGTGCCTGGACTCTCGCCTCGCTCCGCATACACACAGGCCGGAAGTGAGCGATGCCTTCCTTCCGCCGCGTGATCTTCTTACGTGATCCCTCCGATCTCTGATTGCCAAACTTCGCCGCGGATACCCTCGTGACGAACATAAAGTTTCTCGCGGTGGCGATATTCCTCGAGCTGGATCAACGGAATATCGACCGAGAGGAACGCGATCCTCTTTTCTCTTACTTGGATAACGACCAGTCACCAAACAAATGCTTGCTCCAAACAATTTCAAATTGCGAATCGTGTTTGAGGAACACATATTTTTTATTGTAGTCAAATTGCATTTTATTACTCAGATAACGAGCATTGCTCGAAGAATTTCAAATTGAATCACGCGAATTAAGAACAATTTTTTATAAATTGAATTTTATTACTCGAGTAACGAGCATTGCTCGAAGAATTTCAAATTGAATCACGCGAACTAAGAACAATTTTTTAAAATTGTTATAAATTGAATTTTATTACTTTATTACTCGAGTAACGAGCATTGCTCAAAGAATTTCAAGTTGTGAATCGTGTGAATCAAGAATAATTTTTTACAGTCAAATTGAAGCAAATATTGATCTCGATCACGAGATTTGTCTTTTCAATAATATTCTACCATAATATTCTATCCTACGTAAACGTAAACGTAATCATTCAAACGTTATATTAATGCATTTTTGTTTGTTTTTTAACATTCTGAAAAAATCGTTATTTATTGATAAAATGTCAGTAAATTAAAGTTTATAAAAGATACGTAAAAAATTCTCGTATGGGGATATGCAATTTGTATATCACGTATAACTTGATTTTTTTAATTAAAAACAGACAAAAAAGACCGTTAACGTATTTTGTATCCAATATACTACCAAAAATAATTAAAAATCAGAACGTTTTATAACTTTTCGACGAGATCGATCCATCTCACCCATCTTGTTCAGGATTAGTCTATTTGAAGCGTATAATATATATACTTTTACAAATTATCGAATCGAACATGTTTTGATATATTTAGATCAATCTACATAATACACGTGCATTTAAATAAAATATAGTAGAAATTTTATTTCGATTTATTTTGTGAAAATTTTACAATTGCGTTACAACTTAAAATTTTTGATCAACCTTCGATTTCGATAATTCTCGTTAATATAATAAAATTGTTACTTCGCGATCGAAATCATTAGTACACGTACCGAATAATTGCGATCCTGCCAAGATTTGAAAATCTTTTCATGGATGAGAAATTTTTAAATTTTTGAATCTCGAGTAGAAGAATATGTGGATATTGACAAGGATTAAGAAATGATATGTATCATTCGATCTCTGAATCTGCAATATTGATGAAACATTGGGATAAAGGGAACTGAAAATTCTGAACGGTAACAACAAACCAGAAAAGCGTGAAAGCTATAAATTTTGGAACGTTAGCAAGAAAAGCATCCCTGGATGACAGGAATGTTGATATTGGTTTAGTATAATCGGTCGATTCTAGAGCTTATGCGAATCGATTACAACATTTTTGTAACGTGAGAATGTTAGCTCAGAGGATATTCGCAGTTTAACTTTGAAAAAACTGTGTTTTTATTTGCACGAATTATACAAGAATAAAAAAAAAAAAAGATACAACACGAATCTTCGAAAAATAAATCTAATCTAAATCTATACTACTATCTTCTACTCTAATACTTTAATTTTCTAAAAAAAAAAAAAAAAAAAAAAAGAAAAAGAAAAGATTCAATTTTAAAATTTTGTAAAATTCGCAGAAGAGGCTGACGTCAACGAGAGCAAGCACGGAGACGACGTCCTCGGCCCCCAAGAACAACTCGACCACGACCACGATGCATCGTCGAGGGCCCCTGATCACCGACAATGGGAACGGCTTGCTCGAAACCAATCGACGGACGATCTCGATGAAATAGATCGAGGCTCCATCCCTAAGATCCTTGATCTTGTTGGGTGGCGTCTGTTCAGTCGACAATAGGCTACGCGAAGTCTCCGAGCAATTTCCAACGGCTCTCTGGCTCTCTGCCAACATCCACCTAATCCTTTTTTGCCCAGTAACTCTTCGATATCGTCCACAAAATACCTTTCTTTTCCCTTTGTTTTTGTTTTTTTTTCTCCGTTATTAATCATCTTGTTGTTTATTTGTTTGATATCGTTTTTGTATCACTTTTTATTTTGCTTGTTATTCTTTTACCTCTGTTTTTTCTACCTCTCTCACTCTCTCTCTCTTTCTTTTTTTTTTTTTTTTTTTTCTTTAATGATTTCTTGGAAAGAACTAGCATCGTATCTCGTAGTGTCGTTGAGTCTTGATGACCCTTGTGCCATATTTGTCGAGCGTACGTGGGCGTGTAAAAAGAATCAATGGCTCGAGGAAATGTTACTTCTAAAGGGAGAAAGAACGGAAGGGAAAATCTTGCTTCAATTCTTTTTTTTCGTTTTTAATTCTTTTTTACACCGAGCTTTTTTATATTTACAAAAGCCTCGGCATCTTTCCTTCGCTCCACGATAGCTATCAAACAGACACAGTTAATTTTGGTAACGAGGATCCTCGTGAATTTTTTTCAACCTCTTTAACTCGCTTTAATTCTTCTGCGTTTTTCTCTGTCCCACTTTTCCTTTCTTTTTTCCATCCCCCCCCTTTTTTTTTTATACTCAGCCTGAATTTTTTATACACCCTGAATTTTCAAAAGCATTTTCTCAATAGCCGGTATTCTAACTGAAACCCTCCTCCTCCTCCTCTTCTTCTTCCTCTTGAACTTTATTTTTATTTCTTGCCTCTTGAAATCCGGTAAGAGAATGAATCCTAAAATTCACGATCGGAGAAAGATTTTTCCGTCGAAGAATTCTCTTTCCTTCGAAATCGAAAGAAATCGACCAGTTGCGTTGATCGAAACGTTACAAAAAAACGAACTCGAGACTATTCGATTCAACGTTGAAAAATTTTTTCAACAATATTTACCACCTATTTTCAATCCGCCTCTTTCGATTCGAAGTTCTTCAATCCCAAAACATACATAGCCCGAGACCATACAACCGCCTACGACGTCCATTTGCAAATTCGCGGAGCGGAGATGAGAATTATTCTAGTCGAGTCGCATGATAGATTAATCGCTATCGTCGAGATATATTTATTAAATTGTTCGAGGTCGATGGGAGGAGAAAATGTTAATAATAAATCGACACGGTGTACCACTTTTCGAAGGGGTTAAACGTAAGAGCTTGTACGCTTTTGCAACCACGGGAACTGTAACTTCGCTGCGCAGAGAGTTTAGTAGGAAATCGAGCGAATATTTTTTCTACGGGACTGAAATTGTCGATGTTGCGACGGCCTAATTGCCGTTTCATCCATAGGAAACTGTACACAACCTTTCGAGTGCCCTTAACGCATCGCAACTTGCTTCCTCTTCTCCGTCGAAAGAAAGAAAGAAAGAAAGAAAATAGGCGAAAGTTGGGGGGGAGGGGGACGAATGGCACGTGTGTGGAAAAATTTCGAAAGTGTTCAGCGCGTACCAACGATTCTTTGTAGTTCAACACCGTTAAGTCGGCCATCTCTTCGTTCACTTATCGGAAACAATGTTATTATAATCGGAATAAACGGGAAGAGTCGATGACAATATTTGATAAGTGACGTTAAAGGATAAATAAAGGAGGAAGAGAAAGAGCTTCGATATACGCCGCGCTCGAGGAACGAAATAATCGAGCTCGTTGTCCGTTTGTAAGATATAAAATATAAATCGTTGTTGGATCTTGATCTAAGAATCTGGATCCTATAGTTTCGCGATAACTTTTGCGCCACGATACTCGTTCGTCGAGCATGGTTCCGTCTCGATAATTTTCTTATCGAATCGAAATAATAGAATAATAGGGGGACGTTCGTTCAGAGAAGAGAAAAATTTGAATTGTTAAAATTTTAAAATTAATTCGAATACGAATAATAGGAAAACGAAAATTTGAGAGCACTCTTTGGAGATAAATTTTCTACGAAAAATAAAAAAAAAAGAAAAAAAAAAAAAAAAAGAACAATAGAACGTATTGTCGTAAGACGTCGCCTTCGATTTACATATCATTTGTATTGAATTTTATTTATCGTTGGTCGAACTTGCTCAGCTTAAAAAGCTGTAAAGCTGGTGAACCGTAGTGGAGGGTGAATTTGGCGAGTGTATCGATTAGAAACAGCGAACGAACGAACGGACGGCGAAGAGGAAAATTAGCGGAAAATTGAGCCCGTGGCCATATCACGTGTGGTGATAATTCTCGCGTAGGACCAGAGACTGTGCGTCGATGTGTATATAAAATGCGTTCAATTAGTTTTATCGGTCCTTGTTCAAAAGAAAAAGAGAAATTGATAAGCGCTCGGTTGGCGTGCCGGCGCATGCTACTACCTAGTATCAGATTTAACTTCGTCTACGAAAACATCGATTCGAGATGATTCGAGTCGCGAATCATTGAAATTTAATAAATCGAGTCCGCGCAAATTCGAAAGTTGGATCGATCTCCCGGTCGAATCGTTTATCGATTCGAAAAGGAGACAGCCCGCGCCGATTGTTGTTGATCGCGAAATGATGTAAATATTTAACCGCTTCACGGTTTGAAAATTGAGAAGCAAAGATTTCGAGACGCGAAACGAAAAAAAAGAGAGACGAAAGATTTTAATAATGAGAGGACAGCGAAATAATATTAACGAGGGTGTGTCGAACGGATCGAACGAAATTTCTACGCTCCAAAACCGAGTCATTTGAAAACTTTTAATAAATTGGAATTTATTAAAAGTGTGTGTGATATGATTGCGTAAGAGAAAATCGACGTAAAAAAAAAAAAAAGAAAAAATATTTTTATCCGACTTCGATTTCGAATGTCGAGTAATGTTTTATTTAAAGAGGAGAAGAGAGATTGGCGAAGAAAAGAGAAAAGCGAGATCGTCGTCGTTCGAATGAAAGATTGAAAGATACGGAAAAGATGTGAAGATGGTACGAATCCTAGGTGGATGGACTAGCGCAAACCGGAAGTGGAGCATAGATACGCACACACGCATACACAGTTGTACGCACACGACAGAGAGGAATAGAAGGGATGTCGTAAGGGTACGCTGATATATCTCCTCGAATTTTCAGAATTCATGGAAATTCATGTACCTTTATAGAATCCTCTGTATCTACCCGTACGTAGGATATTCGATTTAAGGAAAATGAGAGAATAAATGTCGTACGTTGTATATTTGTCCCTGTGTATTTTCTTCTCCCCGTTTCCATCCTTTGATTTGTTTTGTTACCCTTTATATTGATTAATTATAATACAGCACTTTGTACAGATATTATTCGTGAACAATTTATTTTCACGAAAAACGATGAATGATAATGTATTAAGTAATACATTATACGAGTAAACGTATTTTTTAAAACGATAAATTTTAATAAATTAAAAATAATGAATTACTTTTAAATTTAATAAATGACAAGTTATCAGTAATATAAGATACATATATATATATATATATATATATATATATACGATATATGAAAATTAAATCGAATAAACTCTATTAACATTTTTAATTAATAGATTGAATAAAAGAACAATAATCGGATATCGGTACTGTCTCATAAACGCAATTTTACAGAGCAAGTATAGACAAAGAGAACAAATAGTAGAAGAAGAACAGAGATAAGTAAAAATCCATGCTATCTCCAGAGTATCATAAATAAAACACACAAAGAAATAGAAGTATAAAGATTGACTTTCAGCACCATCTTTGAAATTTTTTCAAAAAATCATGTTTCTAAAAACATTCAAAGGAGGGCACCAATGTTCAATTTTTATTCTACTTTATCTTACTTTTGAAAATAATCTTTGCACTCCAAAGATGGCATTGCTAATCAATTTTTAATCTATTTCTGTCTTTCTCATATTATTTTTGCCTTTTCCTTATGTGTTTCATTTGCGGCATTCTGAAAATGGCGGTAATTCCAATATTTTTATCACTTTTCTCACTTTAAATATTATTATTAATTAAACAAAACAATTAATAAATAAATGAATAAATAGGTAAATAAAAAAATGAATAAATACATAAATAAATAAATCGATAAATAAATATATAGTTAATGGAAAAATGAATAGAACATTCAAAAGATAATGTCGACATCAGACTAATTTTTTTCTTTGAATAAATTATATTGAACAAATGTATAAATTAAAAAATATATAAAGAAGTAAACAAATAATTTAATTGATAAGTAACTAAGTAAATAAATTACAAAATATTAGAAAAATAATACTACAGGAATAATAAATGTTTTATTTTGCAAAATATATATGATTTTTTTATTGTAATAAATTGTTAGAATTATAAATTAACTGTAAAAATCTAAAAATTATAAAATTATTAATCATTATATCCGAAAAATCAATTTTGACACGATCGGCAAGATACGTATATTTTCGTTACGCTTCGTGATTCGCCGCGACCTTTTATAAGACAGCTCGCAAGTCAGAGATAGTAATCATTTACTAGCGAACCTTCGTGACGAATAGATCAAATCTATAGTATTTTAACTAAATTTTTATAAGATAAAAAATAATTTTCGATCATTTATTTTTTATAACATTTTTTTTTCATTAACATTTAATATTGTTATACGTATATTACATATTACTTATTTTTTTATCAATATTTTTTATTATTTCATTTATTTAAACATTTACATATTTATTTATTCGAACATTTATTTTTTAGTTTACTTATTCCTTCAATCTTTTACGTATTTCTTTATTCATTTATTTTTTAATTTATACTTTTATTTATTTATTTCTTTTACTTGTTTATTTATTTTTTAATTTTACTTTCTTTTATTTTATTTTCTTTATTCTTTTATTTATTCTTTTACTTGTTCATTTATTTTTTAATTTATACTTTCACTTATTTATTCCTTCATTCTTTTACTTGTTCATTTATTTTTTAATTTTATTTTCTTTTATTTATTCCTTTATTCTTTTATTTATTCTTTTACTTGTTCATTTATTTTTTAATTTTATTTTCTTTTATTTATTCCTTTATTCTTTTACTTGTTCATTTATTTTTTAATTTTATTTTCTTTTATTTATTCCTTTATTCTTTTATTTATTCTTTTATTTGTTCATTTATTTTTATAGTTTCATTTATTTGTTCCTTCATTCATTTATTTGTTTATTTATTTTTAAAATTTTTTCTTCCCTTTTTATCATGTTTTAACTTCGATTATTCGTTTTTTTTATTGATTCGTTTTTCGTTATTTTTTCTTTCGGGCATTTATGTTGTTATCATTATTTTTCAATTGAATTACAAATAATCAGCATTTTTAAATTCTTTCGTTTTAAGTTGGACGAGAATATTCTTGATATGAATGTTATGCAAATAGATTTTAATATTAAAGTTTAGATTAAGTTAATTTAAGATCTCATCGATAAACAATATGGGACAACAGTGGACAATAATGGACAATGGTGAGAATTTTTTAATTTTTAATTTTTTATTATAATTCATTGTATTTAGTATAAATGATAAATTGCGATCATTGTAAAGACTCATCATACTTTATTGTAAATAATTTTTATATTAATTCTTCTTTTCTGTTTCAGATTTCTCTAACATATTTACAACTTTATATCAATTTTTTTTTTATGTTCACTCATGTTTTACGTTTCTATTTTATTATCTATTTTCTAATTTATTTAATTTTTATTTCCTACGTTTCAGGTTTTTATTTAACATTTAAATTCATTTCAATATTTTACGCTTGTAATATTATTTTCTCTCTTTTTTTTTTTTCAGAAGGGTCTCGACGCGTAGTCACCTCCTCGTGGTGAGACCTGGTAATTGATATCGATTTTCGATTAAATTATTTTTTGGAAAATTTTCAATATTATCTTTGAAAATTTTCCAAAGTTTGATTTTTGAAAAATCGATATCAAGCTAAGAACTACGCAGTACCTGCAGCCCAGTCTAGACTCATGCGAATCCCTTTTGGGTATTTCGGTCGTCTGGACTGGGCTGCAGTGTACCACTTTATTAAACCCCCGCGGGGCATCGTGGGATCGTCGTGGGATCGTCGTGGGATGCGTGCGCCCTAACATTTAAGTCTTAGTTTTTAAGTATATAAGATAGATAACATAGATTAAGATCATTGTGAGCGCATCCGTAGATAAGATACGCTGTCTAACTTAAAACGAAATATAACATATATTTTCAATCCCTTCTATTCTCTCGAATAGAATCAACTTCTTCTCGTCCTTTCTTTGCTTTTCGATCATCTTTTACTTTCTTCTCAAATTCTCATTTTGATAGTTAGATATCGGTAAATTCTTCGTTCTAGCGTCAAATCTAATTCGATTCATTGTCGATCATTGTCATGCGACAGTGGCAGAAGTTGTCGGATTGGTGCTCTATTTCCGGTGGTCAGTCGAGGGTCCGCGCTTTGATCGATTGGTACTATTCGAGTACTCGATCAGAGTTTGGCCTTGTGGTTGACGTCGTTCTCGTAAATCGGCTCCGGTGGTCAAGGATTTATTCCTTGCTCCTTCCTGTGTGTCGTCAGGATGTAAGTCGCTCTTCTGCAAGGCCTCTGTCGTAACCCTCGACTGATCACGACTGGTAAGTATCATCAGTTCGATGACTTCTATAAGTCCATCGACGTAAGTCGTGATGAAGATTGGCAATGATTCGGATTGGTCTTCCTTATTTTTCTTCTTTATTTTTCTTCGTTCGTCTTTTCGATCTCAATTCTCTTGTTCTTATCTCTTCTTTGCATGTTTTCTGTTCATAGTTGCAATCATTAGAAAGAATGTCTTTTAGTTTTTAAATTTAATTTAAAAAATGTCGGTATCTTTTTAAGTAAGACATGCGTATCTTTGACACGGATGCTGCCAATAGGATGTATGTATCATAGATTTTAAATTTTAGTTTTAATTTTAGATTAAGTTAAATTTAAGATTAAGTTAAATTAGTTTTAAGATCTAGATTAAGAAGTTAGATTATAAGTTCTCATCGTTGGACGACGTGGGACAATATGCGACAGAGACTACGTGGAACTTAGCTTTTAATTTTATAATATCTATGTGATATGAGCGATATTATAATTTGTATGTATGCATTGTGTGAGAAATTGTCTAATTGTCTGTATAAAAGCTTGCGTTTAGTATAAATTATTCAATTGTAAAGGATCATTGTAATATTTTTAAAAAGATTTGTATTCTTTCTTATGTTTCAGCCTTTTTTAAAATATATTTCTTTAGGTTTTTTCCTTCTTCACGTCATCATTCGACACTGTCTTCTCCCAGCTGGATTCCATCTCACTCGCGGCAATTAATTAATTTGATTTTGTTACAGATTATTTAATTCTTTTTCTCACTATAATTTATCTTTTATTATTATTAATTGTTTAAATTAATTTGTTTTCTTTTTAATAAATTTTTTACAGGTGGGTCTCGATATGTAGTCACCTCCTCGTGGTGAGACCTGGTAATTGATATCACTTTCCAAAATAATCTTTTATTGGTTAAATAAAACTTTATTGAAGAGAATATAGTAGCAAAATTATATTAAATATTATATTTTGGAAAGTGATATCAAGCTAAGAACTACATATACATGTATACTCGATTAGTTTGTTATATTCATAAATATATTCAAATATGACAATAATAATAATAATAAATGAAATTCTTTAAAATTGTTTTTATATAAAATCATACAAATATTTTTTGTTTAAATTTAATTTAATAAGAAATTAAATGATAAATGGAAACAATCAATTCTGCACAAAACAAAACATTTTTTTATCTATTTATGAAAAATAATAGTATATAAAAAGTATTATAAAAAGTATATAAAGACTATTAAGGTAATTTATGTATAATTCTTGTTAAAAATAATTTTTAAAAACGTGGGGAACGAGGGATGAAAATAAATAACTTTAATTTATTTTTTTCTCTAATATACATATGCACCTATATATATATGTATATATATATATATATATACATACATATATATATACATATATATTATATGTATGTATATATTTATGTTTATTGCATCAGACACAGGAAATTCGTAATTTAGAGCTTTAGAACGTATGCCCCTTTTTAGGTTTTCCTCTCATTTTTTTTTTTTCCTCTTATTTCTTGTTCACTCTTTGCTCCTTTGAAAGACAGTGGAAAGAGAAGAAGGTACAACAA